ACTCCACTATCTCTTGGTCGTTTCTCAGGTGATCGCAGAGAGCGTGTCCTCCTTTTAGGAGCCTGGGGATACAGCTGGCCTCGTCTAGCTTCCTTAAGTTTTTTTCCTGGCAAACAGTCGTATTTCCGATGGAGAGGCAGTTTCCCAATACCGCATAGGTTTTCTGGGGGGCCACCGCCATCCTGTTGTATTCCAGCACCACTTGTTTACCCTCCGTAATCGTAGTATAAAGTAGCATCAGCTTGTACTTGGTGTCCACGACCTTGGGTAACGCTAGCACGTATAATAGGCAGGTTCCGTTAGTTAGGATCGATGGCTCCGCGAACTCCACCGCTTCTACCACATTTTGATATGGCAGGCTGCGGGTTTCTGCTAGAAGGGTTTCCACTACTTTTTGGTCCAAGAGATTCGTGTTGACTACGGACGCCTTTGCCAGTTGACATGCTCGCGTGATTTCGTCGACTTGCTTCAGCAGTATCATTGCCTTGTGCATTAAAATTGTGGCCAAATTGACCTCTCCGTCAATGGAGTTCACCCTTGCCATCATAACGTCGAGCTTCTGTAAGGAGTCGTGCGTAGCGTCGAACAGCCTTGTATTAATTTGTATCTGTTGGTTACTGTTTTCGATCACGTTGCTTTGAGACTGGAGGATGGTATTCCAATCTGATGCGTCGGGTGACCCGGCAACCCATTTCCATGCCGACCCCAGCCAGTCTATGGACCAAGGCGCGCGGTGTGCCGACGTCATTCTTGTAATGCCATTGGTGGCTTCTTCCAGGTAGTGGCATATCAGCGAAGCGACTCTGGTGTCGGTGACCACTGATGTTTCTTCGGTGGTCTTGTCAATTATATTCTGTATTTCTTTTAGGTCGATTACATAGGCGAGTTTGAACACCCCATTGACGACGACCGGTGTATCGTATTTAAAGATGTGAAGAGCAGTCGCGACTTGAATAATCGCCATACTTGGGGGAGAGACGTTACCCAATTTTGTTTTTTAGTATTTAATCTTAACGTAGTATTTTATTTTTTTGTTAATTGTTATTACTTAAATAATTATTTTAGTTTTATGTTTTTTTTTGTTTTCAATCTAAGTATAGGGTTTTTTTTGTCTTTTATATATTTCTGTTTGGCTGGCGTTTTAATATTTTACTAATTCTGTTATTTATTCTTGATTATTGTATTTTTTTATTTTTTTCCTATATTTGCTTTTATAAAGGGTCTGTGAAACATTTTCAGCGAAGCGGTCTTTAACTTTTTATATGGGATTTATGGAAGACTTTCCCTGATTTAGTCTTGACCGTGACCCTACCATCAACTTCCACCTCGTCTGGTTTGAATCGATTTATATCCTTGCTCTTAATCTGCCTGTTGGAGACATAAATAGTGTCCCCCTGGTTGTATTGTGTCGGCCTATTTCTGTGTTTATTAAGCCTATCGGTTGACATTTTTTGCTTATGTAGGAGTAACCCCTTTATGTCTTCCTGCGTCTGCTCTTTAAAATTGTTGAGTCCTTGATAATTTATCCTGGAAGTTCTATTGAGGAAGATATCGACTGGTTTGCGGTTCGTCACCGAATGGATAGAGTTGTTATATCTGTCCACGGCAATAAAAACCAATTCGATTACCTTCATGTTACGGTTGTCGTTTTTCAGACACCGGTATATCTCGAGAAAGGTTGAGTGGAATCTCTCAACCTGGCCGTTTACTTTACTCTTCTGAGAAGGTGTGTAATAAACGGTTATTCCGAGAGATTGTAAATAATTGAGCACCGTGGGGCAGAGTAGACCCCTTTCGTTGTCTGAGACTATCGTTTTCGGTGCTGTGACATTTCAGGGAAGCGGTCTTTAACTTTTTATATGGGATTTATGGAAGACTTTCCCTGATTTAGTCTTGACCGTGACCCTACCATCAACTTCCACCTCGTCTGGTTTGAATCGATTTTTATCCTTGCTCTTAATCTGCCTGTTGGAGACATAAACAGTTTCCCCCTTGTTGTATTGTGTCGGCCTATTTCTGTGTTTATTAAGCCTATCGGTTGACATTTTTTGCTTATGTAGGAGTAACCCCCTTATGTCTTCCTGCGTCTGCTCTTTAAAATTGTTGAGTCCTTGATAATTTATCCTGGAAGTTCTATTGAGGAAGATATCGACTGGTTTGCGGTTCGTCACCGAATGGATAGAGTTGTTATATCTGTCCACGGCAATAAAAACCAATTCGATTACCTTCATGTTACGGTTGTCGTTTTTCAGACACCGGTATATCTCGAGAAAGGTTGAGTGCAATCTCTCAACCTGGCCGTTTACTTTACTCTTCTGAGAAGGTGTGTAATAAACGGTTATTCCGAGAGATTGTAAATAATTGAGCACCGTGGGGCAGAGTAGACCCCTTTCGTTGTCTGAGACTATCGTTTTCGGTGCTGTGAAATAATGCAGGACTTCGGTCAGCTTCTCGCGGAGATGGACTGCCGACTTTGATTCAATCGGAAAAAGTTTGGCAAATTTTTAAAATTTATCTATACAACTCAGGAATTTGAGACTCTCGATCGTAAAAAGGTCAATGTGCAGGATTTCGCATGGGTAACTAGGGATAGGGGTTAATTGCAGTTCCGGCTTGGCCGGGTGTCTGTCATATTTAAACATTTTACAGGTCCGGCAGGAAGAGACCAACGACCTAATGCGGCTGGCCATTCTGGGGAAATAAAATTTTTCCAAGATCTGTAACTTCATCTCTCTCACTCTCTCATTTCTCTTGGGCTCTAGTATGCTCTGTATTTATTATTCTAATCGTCTCTTCTTCACCCGCTACATCGGTTACCAGTCTTTGCGTAATTCGAAGTTTGTACCCCGGGAGGTTCTCCCGGCAGCGCTCTTGCAGAGATTGTAAGTAGCTCTCAGGAATTTTTATGCCATTGATAATTAATGGTTTCAAGTATTTCATTAAACAGGGTAGCAAGTCTTGTGTGCTATCAATGGGGATCAAGTGACGTACGTATCCCGTATGCGGGATTTCGCAAGAATATTCTAATCTATCTGGGTCAAAGACAAGTTGGTTCCTAAACACGTTAATAGGGGCTTCCACGTGTGGAATTAAGTCCGATGCGTCTTGAAGCGCACTGTGGACAGTAGCAACGGAGTCCGTTGTTGAAGTTGAGACTGCGTCGGCATTGAGGTAGTTTACGTTCGAGGTGATGCGGGAAAGAGCGTCAGCAACCACATTGGATTTGCCCGGCTTGTAAATAAGCTCGCAGTTGTATTCTTCTGTGCGCGCTTTCCAGCGTTTCAGCTTAGCATTATAGTTTCGATTGCCTAATGAAAAGGTTAGGGGTTGGTGGTCGGTATAAACCTTAATTGACGCGGCGCCATAGAGGTAGGATCTTAAATTATCAAGGGCCCACACAATCGCTAGCATTTCCTTCTCGTTTACTGCGTAACTCTCCTCTGTTTTATTCAGAGACCGCGAAATGTAGGCGATTGGGCGGTCTCTCGCGTTGTCGATTTAAGAGAGAACGGCTCCTATGGCATAATTGGAAGCATCGGTCGTCAAATGGAAAGGCTTACTAAAGTCTGGAAATGCCAAAACTTCTGAAGAGGCGAGGATGGTTTTCAAGTCATCGAAGGCTTTCTCGCCCTCTACGTCAAGTGAAATTGAAATATTCTTGGATTGAGATGCCTTGACCTGGGCATGTTCTCCCCTCGTGAGGTTCGTCAGAGGTTTCGCGAATTTAGCGTAGTCGCAGATAAATTTCCTATAATAAGAGGTCATTCCTAGGAAACTCTTAAGTTCCTTCAAATTCGTGGGTGGAGGCATTTCTTTTATGGCTCTGACCTTCTTTTCATCTGCGCGGATCCCATCCGCCGTTACCACATAACCCAGAAATTCAACCTGGGTGCACAAAGACTGTGTCTTTTCCAAATTCACTTGTAACTTGGCCTGCCTTAATTTTTCAAATACAGCGCGAAGGTTGCGCCAGTGGGACTCGTAGTCTTTACTGAAGACAATAATATCGTCGATGTATACGTAGCAAATCTTACCGATGTGCTCTCGCAATACGTCGTCGATCATTCTTTGGAAAACGGCCGGGGCGTTTTTCAACCCGAATCGCGGGGTAAGGGTAACTTTTTGAATATATGGGTTCCTGGGTACTTGTTCGTATTTCGGCTCGGACACTTGTGTCCACGGCCTCGCCTGGCGAGAGTGGATCAAAAATCGTAGAGAATTCGGAAATTAGGGATTCAAGGCATTTCTTCGCTTCTACTGGGTGTTCACTGTCGATTAGGGAGTGGACACCTAAGGAAGGCATGGCAAGCAGCGGAATTTTTATTCCTGGCGTTATCGTTAAAGAATCATTTTTCCTATCAATGACTGCTTTAAGGGACTTTAGGGTGTCGTCCCCAATAATGCCATGGAAGGCAGTTAAACCTGGAAGAACAAAGAAGGTGACTGGCGAGTCATTACCTATGGGTCTGAAGAATGGTCCGGTTAGTTGATGCGTTATTTTTATCTCCCCTCCAGCGGATTGCACCGGGAAGGGTTTCGTCAAGGGCTTGCATCCCTCGGCTATCTGGGGGCTAATGAAGTTCTTATTTGCGCCAGTGTCTATCAGAAACTGCAGCTTAGCCCCATCTTTCACGCCATACTCTATGTATGGAACGCTAGAGAGGCGTCGGCCATAAAATTTACCGCCCCGCTACTACCAGCCTCCGTGTGAGGTTGGTGGCCAGCCTGATTGTCTGTTAGGCTTCACCGTAGTAAGCCTCACTGACGGATTTTTCTTCATGCTGGCTAAAAGCGGCCTCACCCGAGGATGGGGCAGCATTTAGTTGATACAATCTTTAACATCGACCATCTGGCCAAGCAACAAGGCCAAGGTTGCCTCAAATTTGGTAAGAGCTGCCTTCATTTCCTCCATATTAAGAAAATCGATTCAAAGTTTTGGGGTTTTTAAGTGACAACGGGGTGACGGTTAAGATTTTGATTGGATATATTTTTATTTAATAAATTCGCTGAAAAAGCCTCACTTACCCGTGATTCGTGTAATTATATTTTGTGTTCCAGTTATGTTCTTCGTGTGTTAAGTCGGTCACTTACAAAGTGCAGATTCTATAAAAAAAAATTATTTTAGTATAGGTACAATTTTTTTTAAAGCGGGAAGTGAATTTTTGCTTGTGTTCGAGTTTTTTATACTTGTTTCGTAATTGTATATATTGTATAAATTTCTTATTTTTGTGGTATATCATTTTTACATATTTGTTGTATATCTTTTTTTTACATATTTGTTGTACATATTTTTTTTTACATATTTGTTGTACAGATTTTTTCCACATATTTGTTGTATATATTTTTTGTTATTCCGATTCCCTTCTTTATTCGGTGTTAGGCACGGTGGGCCGTATTGTTCCTTTTTGGTTTTACCACATACTAAGGAACGGTTGCCACACAATCCACTAGGCGGCTCTTTCTGTGCTGGTAACACTGAGCGTATCTAGTGAATTACCCACACCACTTTCCACTTTATATATTTCTTATTATAGAGGGTGGCCGCTCGTAAACAAGTTACCGCAGCGGTTATCAAAATTTCTATTTCTTTATATTTGCAACACACAAACCACCGCGGCGGTTTGGCCGCTTCTTTTGTTTCACTATAACCTTTTGCGCTCGTGAATTAGATCACCGCAGCGGGTCGGTCACTTTAATTAATTATTTTTTCTCGTTCATTTGTCTCGGAATCGACTGGGAACGCATTTTCTTGTCACATACTTTTTTCCACATTTATTTCATTTTTTAAAATTTTTTTTTCAAAAGAAAATTTTTTTCCACACGACACACACAGTTTTCACCTCCCACTTTTTGTCCTAGGGATCCTCATCGCTTAATGGAGAGGTCCCTGTTCGGGCGCCAGTTAAGTCCTTCCCGAGGGGCCTCGTATGTCCCCGGGAAGGGCCGACTTAATACCTAGACATTCCGGTGTACTTGTGCAGTCCCAAGCGTAGCTCGTTCTTCCCAATCGATAGCGTTGGCCTTTGTATGTGTTATAGTTCCTCCCAATCAATAGCTTTGGCCTTTTGTATACGTTATAATTATTCTTTATTTAATAAACTTAAGCTGACAAGTCGTGTTGATTCGCCGGTCCAATTGGCTCTGCCCCAGTCTTCGGCGCCGACACCTGCCAGAGCCCCGTGAGTCCGGTCCCGGCGTCGACGTCGGCGTCAGTGTCAGCGGCCGGCTGAAGTTTTGCCGACCTTGCAGTTCTCACCGTGCTCCACTTGCACGGTGAGCGGTCAGCGTTCCCGAGCCAGGCCAGCGGATATCGTTGTGCTGACTCGGCACGGGGTGCGGGGGGCAGGTAGGTCAGCGCCCGGCCGGCGCATGTTGCCGCGCTGAGTCGTCATCGCGGCGGGGGGAAGGGGAAGCCGGCCGGTCAGCCCTCTTCTATTTATTAGGTGGGCTGCCAGCCCTCTGTTGTTAACTTACATAAAGATCCGACAATTATACGCACTATGACAGGTCATTATGAACTAAGTGAATTAGTAAAAGTTGCACCTAATAGTTTATTTGCTGAAGAACAAATATTTGATATTCACGACTTTTCTTCCAATTATGACATACTACTAGGACGAAAGTTACTACAGGCAAACCAGGCAAATATTGATTATTAATATAATCGCACTACTATTAGTGGGCGGAATTTTTTACACAAAAACATTAGTTTGAAAAATCCAACACAAGTAAATGATTTTGAGGCATTGCTAAAATCTAAAAAAAATACTGATGAAATAAATTATGCTGTTCAAAATTCATTAGCAGAGGGAAAAAATTATCGTTTAGAACACTTAAATGAAGAAGAAATAGTTTAAATATTAAAATTAATAAACCAATATAAATGCATTCAATATCGTGATGGTGAAAATTTGACCTTTACGAATGTTGTTAGGCATGAAATAAAAACGCATCATGAAAATATAATTTATAAAAAACCGTATTGGTATTCTTTTTCATTTGAAAAAGAAACTTATTTTTCTTTTTCTTCAAGGAATAATTAGGCACAGCCAATCACCTTATTGCAGTCCATTCAGGATAGTACCAAAAAAAAGATGCTTCAGGTAAACAAAAATTTAGACTTGTAGTAGACTATAGGGGCTTAAATGAGATCACTATTAGTGATAAATTTCCCATTCCCAATATGGACGAAATACTAGGCAAGCTAGGACGGTGTCAATATTTTACCACCATTGATTTGGCTAAAGGTTTCCGCCAGATCGAAATGGACAAAAATTCTATAAACAAAACAGCGTTTTCCTCAAAGTACGGACATTTGGATTAAAAAAGCCCCTGCAACTTTTAGCGATGCATGAAGAACGTCCTTCTTGAATTAATAAACAAGCATTGCCTTGTATACTTGGACGATATAATTTTTTTCTCTACGTCTTTTGACAAGCACCTTACTTCATTAAAATTCGTTTTTGAAAAACTTAAAAACACTAATCTAAAATTACAACTAGACAAATGTGAATTTTTGAAAAAAGAAACAGAATTTTCGGGAAACATAGTTGGACCAAACGGTGTAATGCCAAATCCAGAAAAGGTAAAAGCAAACAATAAATTTTCAATTCCCAAAACTCAAAAAGAAATAAAATCATTTCTTGGTCTTTGCGGATATTACAGAAAATTCATTCCAAACTTCGGAGACATTTCAAAGCCCTTAACTAAATGTCTAAAAGCTGGTTCTAAAGTGATATTTGAAGATGATATATTTAATGCAGCATTCAATAAATTAAAACAACTTATCATAAACGGGATCCCACACTGATTTGTCCAGATTTAAAAACAAAATTTTAATTAACTACTGATGCTAGCAATTTTGCATTAGGAGGAGTTCTTTCTCAGGATAACAAACCTATCAGTTACATTAGTAGGACTCTAAATGCACATGAAGGAAATTATAGTACAATTGAAAAAGAATTATTAGCTATAGTATGGGCAACAAAACCCTTAAGACCCTATTTATTCGGAAGAAGATTTAAGATATTAAGTGACCATAAGCCGTTAGTCTGGCTAAACAATATCAAAGAACCTAATATGAAACTGCAAAGATGGAAGATAAGGTTAGGTGAATACGACTTCGAAATAAAATATTTAGAAGGAAGGCAAAATCACGTAGCCGATACATTGTCAAGAATCAAAATTATCGAAGTATACTATGGCAGTAACAATGCAACAGCACGTAGAGCTGAATAAGATAATGAAAATTTAATAACAATTACTGAAAAACCAATCAATCATTTCGCAAGACAGGTAGAAATGATTCGAAGCAATACAGAAGGTGAAGAAAGTGAAAATTATTTTAAAAAAGCCTAGATTAAAATAATGTTTCATGAATTAAACATTGAAAAAGCTAAGCAACTATCAATAAAACACTTTTGTACCAAGTCAAGTGCACTTTTCATCGAACACGACTCTGATTTTGAAATTATTCAGCAAGCTTTTAAGAAGGTCATGAATTCTACTACAAAAATCGTAAGAGCAGTAATTAAGTTACAGGACATAAAAACTTACGCTTAATTTAAAGAAATTATTTTTAGCAACCACGAAAAACTATTGCACCCTGGAGTTGAAAAAATGGTAAGGCAGATATTTACACGATCAAAAATCAAAACAAGGAAGAACACTATAGTCGAGTACCCCGACTATCAGATACCCGTTACTCAGCTAAAGGGACCAAAGGGAAATGGAGGTATGCAAGCAGCAAAGCGTAATTAAAATGCGCCACCTACCGGCAGGCAGATTGAAGCGTTTTTGGCGTTATAGTGGGCGTGGCAAAATTTTTTTTGGATCAATCGATAGGTATTGACGAGACCAATACATTGCAGCTATTGTAACTTGCTTTACATTGTAACTGTTCCTGCGTAAAGTTGTCAGTGTCCCACAAGCAACGCTCAATCGATAGAAGATTTTTTCTCTTGTGCTCTCTTACATTTAAATTATTACGCGATCTCGCGCTCTTATTTTTTTTCGTGTTTTGTGCCTTTGTGGTTTTGGAATTTGATCCCAGTGCCAAATTTACTCGAGGTATTTTTCATATATTATTTTATTTTATTTAATTTCCTTAAAATGGCTCTGGTCTGCTCTAAGAAAAATTGTACTCTTTCGTCTTCAACTAAAGACCCTTTTATTTTCTGCTGGCTCTGCGAGTCGATAATGCACGTTAAATGTGCAGGATTTACTGGTAGAGTCAAAGACTTTATTGATCAGAATTCTGGACTCATGTGGTCATGTGGTTCCTGCAAGGAAATGGTTGTTGAGATGAGCGGCTTTATGAAGCAGACTCGAGACAGCCTTTTGAATCTCTCTGGTGCTTTTAAACAGCTCAATGAGGGGTTCAATTCCGTTTGTGCCCAATTTAATAATAAACAAGGAAGAACGCTATAGTCGAGTACCTCGACTATCAGATACCCGTTACTCAAAGGGAAATGGAGATATGCAAGCAGCAAAGCGAAATTAAAATGCGCCACCTACCGGCGGTAGACAGATTTAAGCGTTATGGGCGTTAGAGTGAGCGTGGCAGAATTATTTTGGATCAATCGATAGGTATTGACGACACCAATACATTTCAGTTAAAATTTTTTATCTAGCATGCAAATTGTGGGCGTCACAGGTTTTCGCGGTTTGTGGGCGTTTAAGTGGGCGTGGCAAACTTTTTTTTAGGTCAATCGATAGGTTTTGATGAGAACAATACATTTCAGTTAAAATTTTCTATCTAGCATCAAAACTGTAGGAGTTACAGTTTTGGGCGGTTTGTGGGCGTTAGAGTGGGCGTGGCAGTCTACTGAAACAAACTTGCGCTGCGTAAGAAGCTCAGGAATCTGTACGCCAAATCTCAATAGCCTAGCTCTCATAGTTTCCGAGATCTCAGCGTTCATCCGGACGGACAGACAGACGGACAGACGGACAGACGGACAGACGGACAGACGGACAGACGGTCAGACGGACAGACGGACAGACGGACATGGCTAGATCGACTCGGCTAGTGATCCTGATCAAGAATATATATACTTTATGGGGTCGGAAACGCTTCCTTCTGCCTGTTACATACTTTCCGACGAATCTAGTATACCCTTTTACTCTACGAGTAACGGGTATAAAAATTACTAACTGAGTCGCCTAAACGTAAAAAAACCAGCTTAGCGGCAGTTAATACGGTCACGGTATCCACCCCAAATCCGAACTTGGTGGCTGCAGCAGTCTCTGTTGACACTGTGGTAAGTGAACCTACTGCGCCTATGGATACAGCTGTTTTAGGTGAAGTCACTGCTTCTCGAAGTCGGGTGGTAAAAAAACCTTCAGTGCCGGCTACGGTGCCGACCGTACCTATAGGTACAGAAGTTACCGTTTCTGGCTCTCAGGTTAGTGAGGTGCAATCTGCTGCTGGGGGACGTAAGAAATTATCAGTTGTTCCACAAAGAAAACAATTATTTGTTTCGAGATTCACCCCAGATACCACATCTGAGGATGTTTTGGAATTTATTCGTGAAAAATTCCCATCCGATATTATTTCAGCGTTTAAAATATTTGCTCCGCCTGATGTGTTTAAGGTACTACTTTCTGAAAGCTTTTGGCTTAATGATGGTTTAGTAATAAAAGAATTTGTTCCCAATAAACCGAGAACAAATAACAGACCTTCCACGGCGCCAAAAAACTAAAAAGTTTATTTTTGGCCTATCAAAATGTTAGGGGACTAAATATGAAGCTACCCAAGCTTTATGCTGACTCCTCTGCATTTACTGCTGATATTTTGGCTTTTACGGAAACCTGGCTGAAACCAGAGATATCTGACAATGAAGTTCTGTCAAACAATTTTAATGCCTATAGGACCGATCGCTCCTCACGTAGGGGAGGCGGTGTGCTGATTGCCGTTAGCACTAGCCTAACTTCCGAGAGAATTCACTCTGATACTCCTAATGAAATTGAATTTGTTAGTGTGAAAGTTTCCTTGCAATCATTCTCAATATTTGTTACATGCTCCTATATTCCACCTGGCTCTGATTTAATAATTTATGAGCACCACCTGTCTGCGATAAAATCTGTTCTATCCCTTCTTTCTAACAGTGACCTTTTGATTGTTTTGGGTGACTTTAATCTCCCTGGTATTTCTTGGTCTCCTCCTACTGACTCACTAGTCGCTATACCTCTATCCGCCCATGATTTTGTTGATGGTCTTCTAGAATTATCGTTACAGCAAGTAAGCTTTATACGGAATTCATTAAATAGACAACTAGATCTTGTGTTTGTTTCAGACCCGTCTGAAGTCACGGTATCTAGAATTGACGCTCTTGTTGTACCTGAAGACCGATATCATCCAACAATGGAATTGACAATCTGCCTCCCATGCGTTGATACCCTCTCTCCTTTAGTTTCTCAAACTAAAGTGAGATGTTTCCGAAAATGTAACTTTAAAAAACTTAACGACATGATTTCTCAATATAATTGGACAGAATTGTACA